GATTGATATTTAAAATAAGCATAGAGTGGTGGAATATAATTTAGGTTTTTAGTAAGTTTGTTCTTTTTTTTTAAATATTTTACCTACTCATGTAGAATAATGTACTTTGTGGAGTTAGAGATATTAATACCTGTTTACTTATATCTGAATATTATCCTGGGATTAGGTTTGGGAAGTTCGGGGGGGCGGGGGGTGGGGGGTTTTTTCATATAGCATTGTGTAACACTTGTGATGTTTTTTTTATGATGAAAAATAATAAAAATCTTTTATAAAAAAAAAATAAAAATATCTTGAAATGAGAGTTTTAAAACTATATACTGTAGATGTACTCACATACATGCACACGTGCACACCAATACATCTGTATGCACATATATGACCCACCTTCCCTTGGACATAAATGCTGTGAAAAACTAAATGATATGTAGAGGTTTATCTTTCTGTTTCTCATATCAGGTATTGCTGTTCAATTTTACTGTGCTAAGGAAAAAACTTGCAGTAGGACCCATTTTTCCTTGCTATCCTATTCCTATAATTTGGTTGAGCTCAAAATCATGTTATGCTATAATGTGTCTTGTTTATTGGTGGTTTAACCTGACATATATCTAGCTGTTGTGATTTTTAAAACATAGTTTATGGCTTAATGTTAGGATGAGCTCAACCAATATGTCTAATAAACAAATCATGGCTTAATACTATGTCCAGTATTAGCGCAGTCCATAACTCAACCCAAATTCTCAAATGTAGGGAAATAAATAAATATGTAACAGGAGAAAGGAGGAGTGACTGATTATTAAAATATACAGTATCTAGAATTACAAAGAGAAGCACAAGATTCAAATCATTCTTCAAAATTTGGGCCAGATACCATTTAGTACTGATATCATTTATATTATGTTGTAGCTTCTCAATACTATATAAGATTATTGCAATTGCAATTATTTTTAATTAAATTGAAGAGCCATCTCACTGCCAGTGACTTTGACTGAAATAAAGGGACCAATGAGTACCTTGCAATATTGGAGATAAAGCCTGTATATTCAAATTTGAGGTATTCATTGGCTGTGTCGATTCAATCTAATTGTCCATCCTGATCATTCTACAGCAGGGGTGTCAAACTGCCAGCCCACAGGCCAGTTGCATCATGCAGAGGCCATGCCCACCCCAGCTCCGGCAATGCAAAAAAAGTCACGATACGTTGCGACATGTCATGTGACATGACGAGTTTGACACACATGTTCTACAGTATCAACTTCCTTACAATAGATGGGTTGTATGTTTTTTGGAGTTATATTTTGTTGCTGTTTTTGATGTTTTGTTGTATTTGTAAGTTTTCAAGAGTCTGACTAGATTATGATATGATGGAAATGTTATGTATGTACAAGTAGTCTTTGACTTATGACCAATTCCTTACCAACCTTTCAAAGTTATGACAAACCTCATCAGAGCTATTTACAACCATTTTCAGAGTTACAATTACCATCATATGTTCCACAGTCATGTGATCACATTTTGGACACTTGGCGATTGGTCCACCTTTTCAGATATTTGCAGGGGGGGGGTCATGTGACCATAATTTGTGATACTTTTTCTAGTTTCCAGCACTTCCAATTTACTGCAAAAAAAAAACCCCATTGGAGAAAATAGATTTACTTAATGATCATGGCATTCACCTAATGACAACCACACAAATGTCATAAAATTCACATCACCTGATGCCTTGACTTACAACCATAACAACTTACAATTGTAATTGTAGGCTCAATTACGACCATATGTCGAGGACTACTTTTATGAATGTTCAAGCCTTTGGAAAAGTCAGGATGTTATGGCATGTTATCTGTTGTGGTAACTTGCCCTGAAGTTAACTTGCCCTGAATGTATATTTTCGGATTTTATACTTTGAATTGTTGGCAAAGTGATGTTCTAGAATAATGTTTCATGTTAGTTTTGCTGTCTTAGCATATTCTGTATACTAGTTATTGTCTTAATCACAGTTTATATATTTTCCTGATTTAACAAATTGCTACGTCCTAATCATGGTAATTTCAGTCATAATAAACTATAATACAAAATTGCTTAAATGTAGCTTTTCAAATTTCCGTTATGGCTTATGTTGGGAGGAACTCCCCCGTCCAGGCTCTTCCAGCCGGGATTCTCCTTAACAGCGCAGAGGAGGACAAATAGAACGTGACGCCAGCTACCGGAAAGAGAGGTTTAATCACGGAGATTAAAGTTGATTGACAATTCAGCATGAATCCCCGGCTAGCTAGACAGAATGGTCTTCAGACATGAGTTCTTATACCCTTTCGTGGTTTCCAAAATTGTCATTTCTGATTGGTGAGTTCAAATCTGTTTTCCCTGATTTGCTGGTCAGTGACTATTGTTGGGTAAATCTCCTTCTTAATCCTGCCTAAAAGGTGTTAATCACCTTATTGTTGTGTATTTGTTAATCTCAATTGCTGCTAGCCAGTTCTCCATTCAGTGTGTGTTAAGTGTTTGCTATCCAGCCTCAGGCT